AACTTATAAAAGTAGCTTAATCAAAATCTTGTTTATGATTCAATACTGAAAACTTAAAAGGTCAAAAAGTTATAAATATCATTCTAAAAGTTACATTGCTTAAATAATGTTGTAATTTTTCATCTATTCAAAAAAAAGTTTACAATTAAATAGCAAAAAAATATTATTCAACATTGCTTTTACTTCCTTTTGTGCCCTTATTGTTTCATTTTTAGCAAGCTAAAATTTTTTACTTCATTCGATTGCATAATTTCGATACTTCTCGCACTCTTTTAACTTCCTGCGAAATGTAACTGAAATTATTTTTAATTATTTGGCTGTCAACGTCAAACGAATGTTGTAATTTCAAGAATTTAATTGAATTACATAATTATTTCCTTCTTTAGCTTGGTTGTACTGCAAAAGGTTTGGGAGTTTAAATGTTAAAAATTATAAATAGAAAATCTTGACTAATTCTGATTTTTCATAAATTCCAGCAGATTAGAATATTTTGCCAATTAAAAAACGCACGACATAATAATGAAGAAGTCATCTCAAAAGGCCACCATCATCATCATAGATGAAACATTCCATTCCAAAAAAAAAGAGACAGCAACTCAAAAAATAACTAAGTTACATAAAAAATATATCTAAAAACTAAAGTAATCAACATAATCAGCAAAAGATGAACGATAAAATTATTATTCAAAGCGCGAAAAATATTTGAAAAGTTTTACTATGCCATGGTCTTTGAATGGTTGGTTGGCGGGTAAAAGATAGTAGAAAAGGCAATGAAAATGTAATTAGTGTGTATATAATATCTAAAAGGATAAGTAGCTGATGCTGGCAAATCGAAAATTCTCTAGATTGGACCCGCTGTGAGACTGTAAATAATCTTGTGATTATAATATAAATTGGCTTGCTTTTTTAGCTCCTGATACATTTTTATTGCTCACAAGGATTAAAAGAAGCTATTTTATGCAAATTTTGCCATCTCCAACCTGCGTTTTGTCGTATCAAATGTTGTGAAATCTTTGATGAGAATCATTGTCGGATGAAATAAGAGGTAATTTCCGATTTTTTTTGTGCTCAGAAGTGACACTTAGAATGTTAATTAAAGTTATTAAAACTCAAGAATTATACTCGAGCGATTTGAAATCTTCGAGTCAAGAGATAGACACGACAAGAATCAACCAATGGGAAGCGAAATTAAATGACTTTTTTTTTGAAAATTTTCAGTACGCAGCAAAAATTATTATAATATTTTTTGGATGTTTAAAAAAAATAGTAGCTGAGCATTATGGCATTATTTTTATGCCTCTGAATGAATTCAAAGCTCAAAACACGTTCCGAAAAATGAGGAAGGCGAGAATGGATGAGGGAAGCTAAAATCAACATATTAAACGCATTATCATAAAATTATTCATAATATTTTCATATTTCTTCTCATTTTCAACCCTTTTTCTCAACCATTTACCCATGGCATTATCATTGATAGCTTGCTGTCACTGTTGATAACGCATCACACTTTTAATGTGATTTTTGTGAAAGAGTTGTGGCAGTTTTTTGTTCACTTTGACTTGGATTTGATATGATTTTCATTGTTCGCTACTTTGAAGACTATTAAGAAGCTATTTATTGTGGGTCAAGTAATACATTTTACTGGGATGTCTTGGGTTTTAACCGTTTAAGGTTTATTAATATTAGAATCAGAATATTTCAATTGAATTTGAATAGATTTTTTAATGAAATTTTGAACTTAATTCAACTGTGCAGATCAATTTCTCAGAATCTAGAATCCTAGATTCTAGATATACCTGGAGAATAATAGAACCTTGCCTAAAAGATGGGACTCTTCAAGATTAAGCTGAATTTGTCATTCGATGTTCGTCATGATTGGGTATTCGAACTGAGTTCGACTCGAGTTGATCAGTTCATTTTGATCGAAAATTTCCAGCTGTGTTTACTAGTTTAATCGCCTTAAAGTAGATTTGAGCCATCTTCAACTGGTTTATTTCAAAATTTTGACAAAAAGGTTAATTCCAAAAAATCTTCTAGAACATCAACTTTAATGTAAACGCTTAAAATTCGCTCTATCCTCACACCATCTATTACATTTCCAACAAGTTTTTCACTCAACTCACATCACAATTTTTGGATATTTTTCCGATTGCGTGTTATTATCATGAGGCATTTTAAAGAACTTTTTTTTCCACATCCAAAAAAGGCAAAAAAAAAATCACGTATGTGTACCACGCTTTTAAAAAGAGATACAAACAGCAAAATATATCGTATATAAAAAATTATTATGATACACAAAGAAATTCCTCTGTGCATATTTATTTCAAATGAATGCTAATGAATTTTTTCAAGGAAAAAAAATTCTCTGAATGGTAAAAAATTTTCACGATGAAGTAGAAAAAAAATTTTCACCGTTAAAAAAGTTGCTGTCAGCATAAAAAATGGAATTAGATGAATTCTTTTACATGTGATTTTTCAAAGCATTAAATTCCTGAATTTTTGAGGAAAAAGGATAATCAAGTAATAGAGACTCAGTGTGAGATGTACTTTGAGATTTACAAAAGTGTGTTTTTGAGTTTTAATGAATTTAATGTCTAAAGTAACTGGATTCATGTATTCTATGATAAAGTTTGAATCACGAGTCTCTAAATATATGAATAGTTTAATCTTGTCTTGATTGGTTCAGTTTTAAGGACTTTCACTTATGTAGGCTCAATAAAAGTGATTGATTAATCAAGGTTGAGCAACTGAAAAATCAGATTTTTCAATGATTCAAACAAGAAATGATTAGATAAGTTCAAACTAGGTTCAATCTCAATTTGAAGACTTAAAGATTATGATTAGAAGTTAAGAAAAATTGACTTTATTGTTTCCATTTGTAACTTCAATTTAATCTTTTCTTCAATAAAGAACCAAATCCCACAAGACAATCTGCACCATCCACCAATCATTCTTCTTTAAAAACACTCAAATTTGAATAATAAGAAGGCAAAGTATTTTTAAAGAAAATAACAGCAGCTTTCAAAAGGGTTAAGTAAAGTCTTAGTCTCATTCAATGCTTAATTTTTCACAATTCTTACGTTACCAAAATTTAAATTAATAATAATAATACATGACTTGCATCAGCTACTACCGATTTTCATTTCATTTATGCCTCCTTTACCGCGCCTTACACATATCATCATTTTTAACTGTTTTTTTTTGCTTCTTATTTTCATATTTTTCACGGTAACAAGAAAAAACACTTTTCATAATTTTTTTCCGTGGGATTAAAGATACAGCAGTGGTGAGGGCAAGGTGGAAGATTTTTACAGAATAAATGAATAATTATAACGCAACCCCTTCATATGCGATTAAGAAATTTTCCTTTAATTCGCGTTAAAAAAAATGGAAGATTTTCAACTCCGCCTTGTATCAAAATGAATATGTAAGTAACATGGAAGTATACAGCATACATAAATTTATTATCATGGTTTAGATAATTCCTTTACTTTGTCCAATTTCACCCATTCATTCTCACTTCATCTCACAACCATAAATCATGAAATATATGAAGTTTCCGTGAAGCTAATTGAGCCTAATTTATGTCTGAAATCTCATATGAATTTTTCTTATGTTCGTTATTTTTTGGCATACAAGGAAAAAAGAGAGCATCAAAGACATTAGGATGAGTTTCGAGGCCACCTTCAGTCACCCGTGAATGGGAATACAATAAGTTTTGTGTTTCATAAGGCATACATTTATGAGCATTAATCAACAGCAAACATAAAACTCTTTTCGGATTCAGTTTCAAAATCTTTTCATTCTTTGCTGTCGAGGTATGAGGATAAAGTGGGTATTGTAAAATCATGTTCACAGTATCACTTCATAAAAAAACACCTTGTTTAGGATTCACGAATAAGTCATAAATGTTTATTAACAGGTTTTAATGTATTTTGGGGAAATCTACAGGATGGCAAGCGTTGTGTAGCCTAAGAAACAATTGGTGTTTGACTAGTGAAGGATCAGATTAGGCAACAGATCAGATATCTATAACCGTCTTTTTGGTGATGCTGAAAGTTGCTCTCTAGAAATCGATTCTAGACGTTTTCTTAAACGTTTTGAACCACAGCGAGAGCACGACCTTAAACACTTAAGTGGGGGACAAGACCCTCTTGACTACGCACCTGAGCCAAATACGCATATTGATGAGTACATGAAAATCTAACGGAAATGTTAGTATTGTTCCTGCTTGACAATATAATAATAATTCAATGTATGTAATCTACTGATTCATTAATTATTTACGTACGTAGCTATATGCCGTTTTTCGATTAGTCATAACTGTCTCAAGGGCATCAATAATACAACTTTAGTTGCTGGGTTCTATTTAAGTTTATTTATGAAGGACAATTTGAAATTATAGCTGAAATTGTAAGTCAAGTAACGCTTTCAAAGTTAGATAAAAGAGAAGACCCTCATGCTTTCATTGCTAACACTATCCATGGACTTCCCCATTTAATGCGTCTTCCTAATTTCTCTCATTTCCTTCAACACAGATGAAAAATACAAGAAAAAGAGTGAAAAAGCATGATTAAGATGACATCAGCAGCATATTTTTATTATCATCGCATAAATTAGTCAAATAAATCACGTAAAAAAATTAAGTTTGGAATTTAAATGGATTTTCCTCGCTTATTATAAAATACATTAGGTATAATACTTTTATTTGCGCCTTATTAAATAACAATGCAGATGTAAATTAAAAATACAACAATAAAGATTCGAGAAAAATCAATAGAAATGTGCCGATGCATTCAAGATGTTGTTCCTATACATCTCATACATGATTACTGGTGTTAAATATTTACTATACTAATAGCCCCGAACTGTGTATAATCTCAAAACTCTCTTCTGTTCATCACACAGCACACAGCAATAAAATATTGACCAGCTTATTTACTATTGCTCATACATGCTGTAACTCGGGATTCTCATGTCTGCTTGTGTTAGTAAGAATACTTTTAGTGCTGCTCAAAACAAAAAGTTTTATTCGATTTTTTCTCACAGTTGCATTTTAAGTTTAAGTAAGTAAAGTACTCGCATTGGAACAATAAGTCATTTAGCTAGTTATTTTAATATAAAGTAAATCTTCAGAAGTTGTGGATTAAAGAAGAAATCGAAAAGAATAAATTGCGCTTCTAAAGACGTAAAATAACCAAAACAACAATGGTAAGTGCTCATTTTGTTATTGTTTATACTGTGTTTGAAGAAGAAAAGGTAGATTGTGCACTAATGTTTATGGTATCTATGAAAATACAAAAATTGGACTTGCATTTTTGCGCATATTCTGGTCATTCTTAGAAAAGGTTTAATTAGCGTCTGAATTCATGAATAAATCAATAAATAGTCTCTATAAATACATGAATGAATAAGAAACCAGTTTTACAAAACTAATACTACATAGCACATGCCGGTCATAAACATTCTTTAACGTAAAAACAGAATAGAGCAAAAACAAAATAACGCAACAGGCGTATATCGGCTTTTTAAATGTTTTAAGTCAAATACAGCCGGGAATCACCAAATATGAAATTGTTGACATTCTTCAACTTATGTGGATGTGGTTTCCTGAGTGCTTAATAGAATTTTGAGTAAATTCATACGGGGTCGTTCACTTATGTAGTGCATCAAAAAACCTGAATTTTAGACCCCCCCCCCCCCTCTGTCACAAAAATTCTATAAAAAAAAATTCCATTGTTTGAACTGTCACAAAATCCTAGAACCCCCCCCCCCCCCCCCCTAAATGTCGGACGTCATAAGTGATAGGCCCCTACTTTACTGTGTTGATAGATATTATTTTCGCAGATTGAACTGGAAATGATTTCATTATACAAATATGTCACATAATTTTCTTATCAGCATGTAATAAAGGAACTGAATAATTTAATTAAATTATAAGTCAACCTGTAAATTCTTTTAATTTAACTTTTTGAATTTGCATTTTGTGAAAAAAAAAATCAGCTTATTGCAGTTCAATCAGTTGATTAAATTTTATGACTTGCTTGATTGTAGGAGATGATTTTGACACTTTCGCTTCTCTCAATTACTTTAATGGATCTATAATTCATTATTAAACAGGAGTAACATGTGAAAAAAACTCATTGAAAATTGATCTGTGATTTGAACCGACTATTTAGGTCAATTGTACTCACTTATTACTTACAATGTTTAATTTAATAGCAATTATTTTCAAAAGAAACCTCAAGTAAACGCTCAATCTATTTTTAGTGGGCTGTACGCAGCGAAGAAAGTGGACGAAAATGCACAAACATATCTTCGCTATATTTTTGCATTGGATTCGTTGTTGTAATGGTGAGTAACGCTTATTGTTATCAACTGTCAGGCATGCAATACATCACGTGTCTATTTACAGTTTGTATTCGTGTTCTATAGCATTGGAAATGCGAATCTGAGCCGTTTAACTAAGGGATATGATGATTGTGGTAACGTTTGTGGACTGATGAATGATGGAAATCCATTTGATAACTGCGGTGTAAGTTTGACTTTCTAAATCATCAGATACGTTAACTACAATAGATTAAATTCCTCTTTTAGACCCATGATAAGCGAATGCTGCCTAATTTGCAAGTTGACGTAACAAAAAAAGGAAATGATACAATCAGTCATTACAAATGCGTTGAAAAGTGTCAGAAAGGCTTCGTATTGGTCTTTAATCGATGCTGGAAATCAGAATCGAACAGCACCGACGATATTAACTCACAAGACTTTTCGACTGTTTTCCAAGAAATTTCTCAAGACTTAATTTTAACTTGGCCATCAATTGGTCTTGTCTGTGTCGTCGCATTCATCTTTTCATACATTCTATTAATCCTCTTCCGTTATGCCATCAAATACATAATTTGGATCATTTATATTGGATTTGTTGTGCTTCTTGCAGCTGCGTCTATTGGCTGTTGGATTGGATACTTTGCAGGCAAATCAGGAGAGAAAGAAGCATTATTAATTCCAGCAATTGTGTTCTCAATTATGACTGTAATTACAGTTATTGTGCTCATATGGTTCAGAAAAAGGATTCGTCTTGTTGCTCAACTCTTTAAGGAAGCCTCAAAAGCATTAATTGATATCCCAACAATTTTATTTGAACCTGTTTTGACATTCTTGGCTCTCATGCTTGCTTTTGCACCTTTTATGTATTTCGCAATCATTGTTGAAACATCCGGAAAGCTCGAAAAAGGCACTGCACTCGATGGCAAGTTCCAGGCAACATATCAACATAATTTTGGTGTTTATGCTGCTCGATATCTGAACATCTTTGCATTTATTTGGTTCACACAGTTCATCTTCGGATGTCAACATTTTATAATCGCTGGCACAATCAGCAAGTGGTATTTTGCACGTGACAAGACTAAACTAGACTCACCAATCATGAAGTCCTTCCATCATTTAGTGTTCTTCCATCTAGGAAGTGTCTGTTTGGGATCCATGATTATTACAATCGTTAAAATCATTAAAATGATCATGAGTGCTATTAAGGTAAGTACTATGATTTAAAGTGGCTTTAAATTAAATCTGGAATTTAAAATAAATCTTTGGATTAAACATGTGATTAAAAATACGTTTTAATTTTTGTCTTTTAGCAACAAGCCAGAGAATCCAATAATCCAGCTGCACAATGCATTGCATGCTGCTGTGAATGGTTAATTGAACAACTTGAACAACTCTTGCAATATCTTATCAGAAATGCTTACATCATCGTCGCAAAGGACGGCACACCCTTCTTTGAGTCTGGAAAGAAGGCATTCGAATTGCTGTTTAGAAATCTTATGGATGTTGTTGCATTGAATAACTTCGGAGATATTGTTCTTATCATTGGACGACTTTTCATTGTCGGTATTGCAGGCTTTATTGGATATGAGTTGATGGTAAGAATGGATGTGAATTTTTTAAATATTTTGTGTATTTACTGAACGTAATTTTATTACAGAACCGACCAGAAGTAAATGTTGTAGCCATCCCAATGGTAATTGCAGTTGTATTTGCCTTCCTAATCGCCCACTGCTTCATCAGTGTCTTCGAAATGACTGTCGATACAATCTTCATCTGTTTCTGTGAGGATTGTGAGGAAAATGACGGAGCTTCAAAGCCTTACTACATGTCTGAAAGTCTTATGAGGGTTATGGCTGAAATGAAGGAATCAGCTGGAGGACAGTTCAATTTTGGTCCAATTGCTGGAGGAAATATGCATGCTTAAAGTACATTAAATAATTAATTGCTAATTTTACAGAGAATGTGTGGCTTGATGCACAAAACTTCTAGTTGAAGTTAATTTAGTATTACGAATCTCAATATGAATATCTACAGCTCATAATACATATAAAGTTGTTATGAATCTCGTTAATAATGCCTTAATAATCGGAAACTCATAGATCACTCAAATTAATGTTGTATACGCTTTTTGCAAGGTTTTGTCTTACTTTTTGTTTATCTATAGGGTAAACCATGTTGAAATTTGTGTGTTTTTGCACATGAAGATTTGATTTGCAAATAAGTTGCTAATGACTGATCATGTAAATTTGGTAATGGGCTCAAAAGATCAATAATTGTGGGAATTTTCAGTTAATAATGTTTTTTCAAGGTTATGCTGCATATGGGAAGAGCTTTTTGACTTTTTCGATCAAATGTTGAAATTTGTGCGGAAAATTTTAAAATTTGTGCGAAAAAATGTTGAAATTTGTGCGTTTTTTTAATAGCAATCTTTGACATAATTGCAATTCTTAAATGTAAACAAACATATTTTTTATTTATATTTGGAACAGAAATTGATATTTTGCTGTAGGAACTCCTTTGAATAAAATTTAAATGAAATTAAGAATATAAAGCTGAATTGTTTCAAACCTTTTCCTCAAGAAATAATGCAAGATTCAAGATTTAACTCAATTTGAGCTGGCTGAGTTTACAACCGTCAAAGGAACATCCATTAAATCAGCAATTCCTCCATTTTTGTGTAAATTTTATGCAGCATAGAGTTTTAGCAATAAAAAGATGAAAAATAGGAAATCAAAATGTTTTTATTTAAAGATCTGAAATTGGACACTTAACAGGATATACTTTTTGAATATATGGATCTGTATGGATATCCTTGAAGTCTTTTGCATTTTTGTTTTATGTTTTTTTTTAAATTTTAAATGACCCACGTTTTTAATTTTTATCAGCTGTTATCAGTTTTTGACTTTCAGTAGTTCCATTTATGCTATTCTTCATGAAATCCTGTAAAAACATGAATTTCATACGTAAATAATATTTGTTGTTGACAAAAATTCCCATCGCTTTCTACGACAAAAAACGCACAAATTTCAAAATTTGTAAAAAAAATTCGCACAAATTTTAACATTTACAATCAAGAAATTTTAAAATCAATTTTTAAAGCACTTCCAATGATTTTTATAACTTGAATTTTTTTGAAACATTATAGCAATTATCAAATTTTATATTTAAACTGTGATTTGATTACAAGCAGAACTGGTTATGTCCAAATATTTTAAAATATGAAAATCACAATTTTGTATGGGATTTTGAATTTTTAAAATTTAAAGCTGCTCCAAGCTTCGAGACTGTCCAAAATGATGTAGAAATGTTTGTACAACTGTTTTACACAGAACTGCAAACAAAATTTTGGTTTAAATGGCTTATTTGGGCTAATTTCTTTTTTATTTGAGCGCACAAATTTCAACATTGCACAAATTTCAACATGGTTTACCCTATATACAATAATATACAATAATAATAAAGTAACAAGTTGAAGTAATTAAGTGGTATTTAACCGTCGTATAAAATTCGAATCCACAAAATTTCATAACTGTTGTCAAAAATTCAAATTTCCATGTATATACAGTACACGACTTCTTGTTTACAAAAATTGCTCTCAAAATTAATTACATCAAAAAATGTCAGATAATCCAGAGAATGCACCAGAACATTGCCCTGGAACAAAAAGTGACGATGCTGGTAAAGCGTCTGCATGTGCAGGATGTCCAAATCAACAAATATGTTCATCAGGTGAGACTTATTTAAAATTTCCTTTGTAAAAAAATAAACTAGTCATGAAATTCAATTAATTTAAACAGGACAGCCGAAAGGAGTTGATCCAGGAATTGAATTGGTAAAGAATAGACTTGTTGATGTTAAGAATAAGCTGATGATATTGTCAGGAAAAGGAGGTGTTGGAAAATCCAGTTTAACTAATCTTATCTCTCGTACATTCGCACACATGAATAATAATGAGAATTTTGGAGTGCTTGATATCGACATCTGTGGTCCATCACAGCCAAGAATGTTTGGTGTCATTGGTGAGCAAGTTCATCAATCTGGTTCTGGATGGTCTCCTGTATTTATTGAGGATAATTTGTCACTTATGTCTATTGGATTCTTACTGGATACGCCAGACGATGCCATAATATGGCGTGGACCAAAGAAGAATGGAATGATTAGACAATTTTTAAGTGAAGTTGATTGGGGAACTTTAGATTATTTGATCATAGACTCACCGCCAGGAACTAGCGACGAGCATTTAAGCGTATCCACTTATTTATCAACATCTGGTGGTAGTTGGGGTGCTGTGCTGATTTCCACGCCCCAGGAAGTATCACTTTTAGATGTACGGAAGCAAATTTCATTCTGTAAGAAGATGAACATTCCAATTATTGGAGTTATTGAGAATATGTCGTCATTTGTGTGTCCAAAATGTTCAACGGAATCAAAAATCTTCCCAAGTAACTCTGACGTTCAAAATTCAACACAGATCATGTGTAAGGAGATGAATGTTGAATTTTTAGGAAGTGTTCCACTTGATCCACGTCTAACACGCTGCTGTGATGAAGGAAAGAATTTTGTAACAGAATGTGAAGACAGCACAGCAGTAATAGCACTCAAACAAATTGTTGAAAATATTAAGAAACATTTTAATTAATAAAAATTTCTAGAGGATTCTTTTTCTACAAGTAAACTTTTATTGAAAAATCTAGTAATAGATTTATGACTTAGCCATATTTAAATTATATAGAAGCCACATAAAACATTCTTAACAGTATTATCTATTATTTCATATCACTTATTAAAGAAACAGAAAGGAAAAATTATAATTTGTATGGGAAAACTGGAAATAGGTAGCAAGAAAATGTTATTTTTGTTTAAAACTTCCAATATTTTGACATAGCTGAATGTTGATTCTTTGTTTCCGTCATTGGTCGTTCAAATGTCAGTGCATACTCTTTTGCTTTCTTTGATATTTCCTGGTCGAAAAGCTGTAAATGAAACATGTATGATTTAACGATTATTTAAAGTTTAAATTTTAACGGTTTTCACAAATTCAAATTAGCTTAAGAAGTTTTGGTTTGAGTCTCGACTTTTCAAATTGGAAAAGTACGTTAATGAATACTCACATCATTTTCCTTAACTTCCAAGTACTCTCCAAGATCCCATTCACGATTTGGTAGTGGCTGTGATGTGATATTCTTAGCTGTTTGCGATATATATGGTAACATATGACTCTTAAGTAACTGAATTTCCCAAAGTGAACTTTGCAAGGCAAACGACTTGTTTGGATCACATTCATCCATCAAGAATGGATCATTTGAGATTTCATGTCCTCCATTTGCTGCATCACAAATCAAACGTTTTAATCCCGGATGTCGAATGATTAAATTTCCAATGAAAAACAAGATAATAATGATATCTTGTGGAGGTGCCACGAGCGAGAGACGTGCTAAACGTTTTGCAAATGCAGCAACAAGTGTTTCGGGTAGGTAAGTTGATGACAGAAAAATGTCAGCAAGATGAAAAAGTCGTGGTTTAAATTTCATATGAAATATTTCTGGCTCAAACATGGCATAAAGTTTCTCATAAATATTTGGATAAGACATATTGTACTTGTGAATTAAAATGAAAATTCCTTGCAATGCTAGCAACGATACTTGCCCACCGACATCAAGTGTGTCCATTAAATAGTCAGTAAGAAGGGCGGGCTTTTCCAGATGAACTAGAACTTTTTCCAATAGCAAAACTAGCAATTGACGTTGTGTTACGTCATTATGTGGCCATTGAACAATGAAATTCCAGATTTTATTAACATTCTTCCTCAATAATTGCTCATCGAACTTGACTACCTTACATAAAAATCTCTTTTCGTCGTCATCGTCTTGTTCTGCATACTTTTGATTATTATTGGGCGATGCCGGAATCAATACATTTAGCAATTCCAAATAATTCTGAATAAATTCATTGTTCAAGTCGTTTTTAGTTGTTGGAATTAAGTTTTTAAGCAGCAATTTCCATACAAAGTAACAAAAATCATCAAACATTGTATATTCTGATAGCTTAACGATGACATTTTTCATAATACGATGCGAGAGAAGTAATTTACTAATTACTTTGTTTAAATGTACGATTGGAAATTCAGTCTGATGATTATCATGACTTTCCAAAGGATTTGTTCCTTCTATGGCTATGAATTTCATGCATGTAGTGAGTGCCTGATGTGCATCAGATGTTTTGTCACTTCCAAGACATTCAATAATAAGATTAAATGTCTCAATGTATCGCTCTTGAAGGAACTGCTTGTAGTTATTTTCTGGCGAGTTTTCTGGACGAGAAAAAAAGAAAATGTCTGAAAGTTTTTTTGTGTCTGTAACTTGATATTATGCTTAATTCTTACCTTTTCCCTGAAGTGATTTTATATGAATAGTCATGTCATGGGATCGTAGTAGTTCGACAAAAATAGTCTCGCATGATAAAATAACTGTAGTTAAAGGAATCTGTTTTTCAAGTGCATTCTGTAAAAATATAAAATTCAATAATTTTCGTCGTATTCATAAATTAAGTGATTTTTCATACCTTAAAGCTGTCTATTACGTTCGTTAGTGCCTCTATGTTACGCTTATTATTAAGAAACTCGTTCACATTGGACTTTAAATGGTGATTCTTTGCTCCTTTCGACATTATTTAATTAAATTTACTTTTTGTGATCCTTTTCCAATCACAAAAAATGTGTTTTGCTGAACTTCCACACTTCCTTCAAACTTCCACGCAAGTCTTTAATTTGACAAAATTTCAAACAGTTTTAAACCGTTAAAAAACATAGAACTCATAATTTCACCAAAGTTGTTGTCACCCTAAGAATTGTAAACAATAACAAACCAAAATAATTGAAAATTTCTAATAATTCATTAAAATTAAGCTTAATCAGCGATGGAATACGAAAATAAGAAGAAGGCTCTGTTCGACATACTCGATGCTGAAGAAAAGAAGCTTGAAGGATCATGTCTCACACAAAGACAAGAGGAAAATCCAAGAAAAAGACAATTTAACTCAAAAAGAGACAGAGATTCAAGTATTGAAAGATATAAAAAGAATGAAAGTATTTTCAAACGACCTGCACTGCCTATTAACAAGTGTCTGAGTGTTAGACAACGACCAGATTATGAGGTAATGATCCAGTAAGTTATATTAAGTCATTTAATAATAAAATTTCAACTTACAGAAAAATCCACAAAGATATCAGCACTACACTTTAACCGATGTTAGTGATACATCAGACCGTATGAATGCATCAGCAGCGTTCTCATTTTTAAGAGAAATGGAGCAAAGGAAGCAGCAGGAAGAGGAAAACAATGATTCTGGATCATCAAAAATTGTATTTAAAAACTCAACGAAATTGAAGCCAAAAGCTACAGAAGATACAGAAAAGAAGGAGAAGATCCAAGGAAACAAATTTGTTATGAAGGAGTACGTTATAGGTGAAAAGAAGCAAAAGCCCAAAAAGGAAGTGCCACGTGATAAAAATTCTGGATCTGCAAAACAGCTTCGATTGTCACATTTAAATGATGAAGAAGAGGATGATGAATAAACATAATTAAGATTATTAGAAGTTATTTGAAGAGGTTTAATGACCAATTTCTAGCATTGATACACAAGTAAGTACCTAATTCCATTAATTCATTATCAGTAATTTTAAAGATCCAGCCAGTATTTTTAAAGCGTTAAAAGACATTTGATCTTCCTTACAATCTAAAACTTAACTTTATTAGAGCTCTATTCTACATTCTGAAGTTTTAATTCTAATATCCAGCTACAAATTATGAGAAATGTTATAAAATTAAAGATAATCTGAACTTATATGTAGCTCAAATAAGCCATTGTTACAGAGCTTTGGCATTTCCATTTAAATGAACTGCTGGTTTCAGAACTAATTCGTCATTATTGAATGTTTGAGTGATGTTAACATTAAAGTTTCTGCTTCTCTCGAGTTGTTTTGGAGAGCATGTTGGTGACGTCTCTACCCATATCGTGTTATGGAACAAGTTGTAGTCAATCTATAAATATTCATGAATATTAATCATAAAGATTAAGTTCAAAAATCAGTTAATTTACATGATATTCGGATGCATTTTCATCATGCGTAACAATATTTTGAAATCGGTGACCCCAAAGAATCTCTGATGATAAATAGGAAGTTCTTGCTTGTGTAGCGAGTCCAGTTGACTCAACACCACCTTCTAATATCACAATGATCTCAAATTTCTCACGCAACAAGTCAATCGATGAAACATTATACAATGGACTTTTTTCATCAATTCTATGTGCTAGAACTGTTGGCCACATTAGCAAGACCCGATCATCACATTCGTCTGTTGTTAATTTCAAATCTTGTTGGTAAAAGTCAATTAATTCGCCTTCATCCGTCATTTTTCTTCTAACAATTCGAGCTTTTATACTTGCACGAATAATATGACTTTCTCGAGTGTCAGCCACACGAAACATAAGATAAGGAATGCCGTTGCGATGTGATATTACAGCCTTTTTTGAGAATATGATGTTTTGGGCTCTTGTTTTTGGGCGTGCCAATTTAGCGATAATCCCGCCCATTAAAAACTGTAGAATTAAAGATAATGTAACAAAATTGACAGCAATTTGATTGATGATTACTTACGCAAGTTAGAAGAGTTCCAGTAATGCTACAAAGAATAATATTTTATTACACAAAGCATTAAAATAATGAATTCATTGATCTCACCTTTGAGTAGCCAAAAGGACTGGAGCCTCTAAAAGAAATGACAGATTCAATAAGCTCTAGACTTCCAGTTCATATAAAATACAAATCATTACCATTGCATCCTTCAGTTATATGCCTAAATCCATAACCAATCGATTGCTGTGTCTCCATTGAGTAAAGAAAAGCAGACATGAATGAATAAAGGTTTCGGACGCAAGGTGTATAGCGATTATCTTGTTCAAATTGATCTCTGTCGACAGCATCATTCCATTTCTTGTAATACTCAATATCTCCATGACCAACAGCCATTGCATACCAAAGTGAGGCATATATTGTCCATGAAGCTATCAAAAGGCATGAGTATGTCATTATCGTCCATGCCCAACTAGCATCTATGAATGTAGTAAAGCCATCGTTGATGTACCTTCCAAAGCACCTGCCAACGTTGTGCTTTGAAGTGTTGACTTTACCCTTTTTGAAGATAATACGATTCCTGTAAGTCATAAAAGGTGGTTAGTCAGTTGTCAAGACTCATTCAGTAGCTTTTAAAAAAAGATTTTGCAGAATGTTCTCAAGTGGCCTAATTGACTGATATCAGAATTGGAGCCAATAAAGTTTTGTTTTGTACGCGACAACAAAATTTCCACAACTACGTTTTAGTCTGAGGAATGTATCAGTTGATTAAAAAATTATCAAGGAAACGAACCCATAAGATAATTGCATGGACTTGGCAACACAAAGTTCAATTGTTTTGGACTTGATACTCTTGCTGATTATATATTTATGGCAGCAATTGACAATGATTGTCTAAACGAATGTGCTTTTTTGTTTATATAAAAGATAATCCTTAGTATTATAGTAACTAGGCCAGTCAAAGACAGAAAGCATGCATAATGTCTTTGTTTTTCTTTCATAGTCTGCAATGTTGTTTTTATTGCGATTCTAAAAAAGTTGAAAGGACTTATTATTTTGTCGAAGTTAATTAATTTTTTATCGTCGACTTAGAATTCGAACTTATATTAATAGGTTAGTAAGAACAACCTTGATGATCTTGATATCAAGATCGTATACTGTTCAAGGTTGTTGACTCGTGACACACAATCAATCGAAATTTTATTTTTGGAACCTATACAAATTTCACTAAGTCTAGTTTTAAACACTTGTCTATTGTTTTTGGATTGAACAACAACTTCTTATGAATCTGTTTCTCACAATATCTCATTGCCTAGCTTTAGAAATCTGTCAATAAACTTGACCAAATCACTTAAGAACAAATAGCAAAGTTCTACTTACAAACTCTTAGCCTCCATCTCAATTGTCAAAATACCACTCAACGACTAAGACGATTGTACTCGAATTTAAGCCTTTAATACAGAAGTCAAGTGGTCCAATAAAGATAAAGCCAACGATAAAGATAAATCGCATCACATGCTTTGAAAATGTTGAGTGTTTAATTAGTCATTAATTAAGTGGAGTAATTTCGGTAGTTTGAGGACCTAGGGCAGGTGACAACATACTGAAGACTTTATGAAGATAATTCTAAAGCTATTAAGTTTCATATAAAAAGTTCTTAATGTTTCCTTTTGCGAAAATAGATCAGATGATCAGCTTCAACAGCTATCAATAATCATGAAAAAAATCAATCTAACTTGAAAGCTACTATTAATAAGCTTTATCTATCTCCTGTCTATCAATATGGGTTAGAAAATTTATTGGTGCAATTGACGTTCTTATAGATTAAACTTGTCTTCAGATTTCAAACTGCCATATTTCATGATTACTTGGTATCTACCACAAGTTCTCAAAATGTTTGTAAATTGATATCTAATCGACTTGATTTGATGGATGATTGTCAGTATTTTCGTGGAACTTACCTGACCCAAATTTTGAAGCATGTCATTCTGATCTTCAATCTGTAAATACTGATATCAGTTCTTTATAAAGAACAATTAAAAGTTCATAACTCGTCATTAAAAAGAACAAACTCTAGTTGATAAGATAGTCAATTTAAATTTTTATTAAAATCATACTTCCGTCCTACAAACATCAAATCTAGTTAGGCAAACGTTTCTTAATCATATTCTCTAATTTCTTAATCCTTCCCTTGTCGTCAGGTTCATTTAAGTAAACATCAGCACTTCCATTGGAATTTTCAGGGATCATTCTTTTATAGACATCAATGAGTAGTGCCTGATCAGCTCGCTTAATTCCTTTCATTTCACAAATTTTATGGAACTCGGCAAGTGTATTTTCAGGCAGAAGCTTTAAATATTGTTCTATAAACAGTGCGTGTGGATTAATATTAGCCATAACAATCTTAATTATCATCTCAGCCTTTGTCATGCCTTTAATGACTGTCTTTGAGTAACTTGCCGGTGCCTTTCGATTAACTTGAGATTCAATAGTTGGAAGTTCTAATAAAACTGTCTTAAGACTGTGTGTGTCGAGTAATAACTGCTCACATCCCATAATATTCCCAATACCTTCACTATTCGTTGGTCGACACTTGTATAAATTATTAATAAATTTAGGGATAAAGGAACTTATGAATTTATGACAAAATTGTGTATAGTACTTCCTGGATGTAGCCAAATTATCACGTATGACTGGAATGGTCTGTTTAAAATGTGAAATAATGGAATTAACGTATGGACTTTGGTCTCCAACATTACTAATGCTTTGCCATTGCATTTTAGTCATGACAGTTAGTGACGATTCACAAAGATTCTCAATGTCTTGGACAAGAAGCTGAATACAATGAGATATAACTCGATGAAAGACATCCTTCTCTTCTGAAAGGTCTACATTTTCAGTATATGTAGCTTCGATCTTTTCCTTCAATTTCTCCTCGAGTTGCTGCACAGTTTCTAGACAATATTCAGCTGTTGTTAATATTTTACAGACCAAAATTCGTTCCTCTTTTGTGTATCTTGGAATTTCGCCTTCTTTTAAGAAACTGTGAATGACTTGATTTGCAGCACTTTGAAGATTTTGAAAATCTTTTTGCTTCAAAAGTGACATACTGGATGTTATAGATGATGTGCTTGATGGAACTGCCACTTTTGGTATTTGACTTTCGAGCACTTTTATTGCATATTCTCGTAAATGTTTCTTAAAGACCTGAACGAGGTCAAAAAGTGTCTTTCCGTTGCTTAATTGCGTACATTGGACTAAACTTTTCTTGTAGAAAATAAAAAGTTCAGCACAGCTCTCGAGTGAAGCATGAACTGACTGCTGTTTAGCGACTTGAAGGAATTTATCGATTAATTCGCTCAAATTTCTATCAATACTTTCAGTATAAATGTCCAAATAAGGCTTAAAGCAGTCACTAATCAGATTTCTGAATGGTGATGTTGAGCTATATTCCTCACCAGCCTGTGACCTTTCATCTGATGACTGTTCCTTGTCAGATGATTCCAAAAATACTCTTTTATCAACTTGAATAGCTTGCTTAACATTTTCACCTAGCGTACATCCAGTAAATCTTTTTCCAAGTAAATCCTCAAATTGCGATGTCTTATTTATTGAAAACAGCAACAGCTTAACATCAATTTCAGTTCGTCTGCGTGACATTATTTTACTTAATTCAGTTTTAGAGATGCTGCAAAATTCGACAGCAATTCTCTCGGAAACTTCCCAATTTTCAGGAAAAGCGGTTCCATATTGATTCTCAAAATCAAGCAGTCGACGCTTAATCCATGCATATCTTTTGTCAATTTTGTCTAGCCATGAAATGTCCTGATCTTCACTGAATAGTTGGATGTATTCTTCTAGCTGGTAGTCTGTAGAAATGGATAATTAGTAGATTAGTTTTAAATCTTGAGATCTATTTTTTAATCGCATGGATTTAATTTTTAATCGCAAGCTTTATAAATTCAAATATTTTTTGACCATTAAAATTTAAATATTTTGTGACGGTTATTTTAAAATACTTACTTATGAAAAACTTGATCAATTCCTTCCTAACTTTACTGTCAAGAACTGATATGACTAGGCATGCATCTTTTAACTTGGAAAGTGACATTTTGTTGCTATTATTTGGCGTTATACTGAATGTATTTTTAAATTCCTCAGTGATTTGAGTAGCTAGGATTTTATGGATTTCTGCTACATTATTTGACAGTTCCTTAATTTGTGGAATTTCATTGTATTGAGTAAAGTGCTGGTTCACTTCTGTTATTGCCTGCAATGGATTACTAATTTCACCGTATAATCTTTTTTCCGTCAGCACTTTTAACTGTTCAACTCCACCAACAAGCATGTGGAGATGATTCAAAGTAGTTATCGCCGATGTAAGATTCTTTTTTGCACAATCCAGCTGTTTAATGTTGCTTGTTATTGACTGGACGACGTCTTCAGTTATTTCAGCTCTATTCTTTATGTCTCCAATTTGTGAAAACAGCTGTTGAATAGTCTTTTTAGCTTCATCCAGTGCCTGCTTGCCATCATTACTGGATGTCGATACACCTCTTACTACATCCCTAATATTATCATCTATAACTTGAATTTCTACTTCCATCTTTAAAATCACGTCATCAATTGAAGAATTTGAATTTAGTGACTGTTCTGTTGGAAACAGACTATTAATGTAGTCAGCTGGATTGAAATCAGGCTTAATTAGTGGATCATCACTCTCACAAACTTGTTCAATCGCTTTTTGGACTTCATTTGACAATTGTTGTGCTACTCGAATATCGGAATTTTCCATTTTCCTAGTGTTTTACTGATATAATAATAGATACTTTAATGTCTCCTGATGAACTAAGTTATACTTATGATGAATAAATAGATTTGGTGCCTTAAAAGTCCTTATTAAGTCATTAAAATTGATAAATATTGTGGATCGAATTGAAATGTCAACAAACGGGATGTGAAACTATGAAAAAATTATTGTACGAAATTTGAATTTATTTTAACCGTTACGAAATGAGGGGGAAAAATTGCAGAGTTGTTCATCTGGATCTTTATCGCTGGATCTTTATGACTTATTTACCTTAATTAACCATTCCTGGATGTCATAGAGTCGTAAAATAATCTTAGTACAAGTATTAAGGCAGTAAAATAAGAAAATATTGGCACAAAATTATTACATCCAGTAAAAGAATCACCAACTCTGGGCGTATCCATTTTTATTGAGTGACTGACGCGTTGAATAACCCCAAGCATCGAAAAATATCATCAAAAACAGGCAAATTTAGCATAAAACTAATGGATAAGTCGATAAAAGTGAAGCTTAATGTGCTTATAAGTGAATTAACGAGAAGAAAATAAGAAGTTTTATTAATTTAATGTCCAAAATTATGGTTTAATGAGCAACAACATAATTTTTAAAAAGTTTCACAACAAACAAACACAAAAATAAGGAAAACATATTAAGTTCTTATAAGATAATGAGTTCTATAGCTGATGAGATCCAGCGGATCTCTGATGACGCTGATAAGTGTATTAATTATGCTATTGGAGATAAACTTGCGGCATTTATGAGGTAAATTAAAGCATTTTGAGCGCACATTTCATAAGTAAACAATAATAAACGAGCCATTTTTAAATTCTTTTCTCTTCTTTTATGTTTATATTCTATTCGTATCCAAAATTGCAGACTGCAAGACGAGCAGAATTCCACAAATTTCGTACTTTCGGGCGTTTTAATTTATGCAGCGGCAAAAATATTTGGCAGGAAGGTCGATTGCCTTGAACAGGAGATAATTGGAGTGGCTAAAAACTTTGAACGTGTCGAGGCAGAAACCAGTAATAACAAGGATAAGGAACCGAAGGAAGCAACCAAAAAGACACGTACTAAGAAGTATACAATTAAGGACGGAGTTAATATAGATAAGATTTTATTTGAAGAGAAAGACATAATAATAGCAGTTAAAGATGACATCAATAAGGAACTAGCTATGCCTTGCAAAATATCTAGGCTGCAAAAAATGAAGGACTTTTTCGCAAGGAATAAGGAGAAATCGGGTAAAATTGCGATTCCAAAAAGTATGCTGCTTACAAATGAAGTAGCAGTGACGAATTTTGGCAGTACACAGATCCATGATTATGATGACTACAAAGATATTGTTGGAAGTAGGCGGGATTTCACATCATTTTCATTTTACATCAACAGCTGCACGGGAGAGCTTCAAAATGATTTGAATTTCTCAAAACAAGCCAAAACCAACGATTATCTCGTCATTGATAATGAACATCAGTCACAACTGGATGTTGTGGCTAGTCCAGTTAACGATAACGCAATAATTATTCATAGCAATGATGATGCTTTAATACACAGCAATGAAACTATAATTAATGATGAAAATGATCTAGTTAATGATGATTGCAACGAAATTAATGATTTTACGCCTCCCTCGACCCCAAATCTACCTCTATCAGGAAAAGCTACACCAATTAATTTAAATTTAGATGAAGGCATAGAAATGGACATCGATCAGTCAAGTTTGTTGCTTCCAATGCAGCCAATTATCAAAATAAATGACATAATGAGGCAAAGTCCAAGTCTATTCTCAAATATGAATGTAAATGACTTTGTAGTCATGAATTTCAGAACATCCTTACTAACAGTGCTTGACAAGATTAAAAACAATACTAGTGACTTTATGTTACCTGACAAAATTAAAGCAGAAGTTGGAGAAAACCGAATGAAAAATATTTTTATGATTCCAATCAAAAGGCTCAAGCATAAATGCCAGTTTGACTTGCCCGACAGTGAATTTAGAGAATTAAAACGAAGGAAATTGGATCAGCATAAATCAACAGTTGTAGACCAGCCACAGAATCGACAAAGTCGAATATTTAAAATTTTAGATTTATTAAAGAATTGTAATTTACCAAACCTTGATAGCTCAATTGAATTAGAAGATGAATATGAAGACACGCCATTCTTAGGCTTTACAAAAGATGAACAAAATGAATCTCGATTCCTAATACCGACATACAATAGTAAAAACACTAAAGCAACAATTAATTCCCACCAAACCACAATAGACGATAGTTTAATTAATGAAAATCCACAAATCCTACTCAGAAAAGTATCAAATGATTCAGGATATACTAGCGAATGCATAAATTCATCTAATGAAATTGAGGATTCAACATTTAATAACGACAGCGATGAAATATCAAGTAGACTTAATAGTATCGATGAAGAGAATAAAAGTGCACAGAAAAATTTAAACATAAGCGGAACAGATTCGTGTTATCAGTCACTCGTGTCAGGTCAGTCTGGAAGTGACGAAAATTCTACGATTAATGTTAATGCGTCGTCATTTATTGACGATTATAAAGTTGGAAATAGTACAGAAAATGAATTAGAATTAAGTAATGATAAGGAACAGGAGCTAACATCGTTAGAATCGGAAGAGAGGATACAACTGATGAGGCAGTCGGCGATTAATGTGAGTTGTCTTGTTTTTTTGAACTTAAATTTTTTAACGGTTTTTTTAATTTGAAAACTACTTATCCTAAAATAAATGCAAACATTTTACCGAACTTTAGATGCGAGAAAAGATGCAAACTTTCGAATTTTAAAAAACCGTTAAATTTTAAAACTCAATTAAATTTGATCTTATTAATTAGTCAATTTATATCCCAATTCTAGGTAGCAAAATGGAAAGAATTTCTTAAACCCATTCTCGCAAATTCAGAGAAACGAAGTAAGATAGACATGCACGAGTATGGACTCAAAGTAATCCACAAAATAGGAGATGTGAATGATTCGAAGACTTTGAGGGAAATTGCGGAACCTGAACAGATGCCTGCTTATTTCTTTACGATGCTGCAACTTGTGAGTTATTAAATTTTAATGTCTTATTATTTTTGCTGACTTGTTATACTCAATTGTAGACAAATAACCGCAACATAGACATAACATTCAGCGACAAATCAATTCGTGAGCCAACAGCCTTAGAAAACATAAAATTAACACTAAAATCAAAAACCGTTCATAAAGAGAAATTCGACCAAATGGGTCAACAATTCGAAGCTGAGGAGCTGAAAAAGGTTACGGCAAAAAGAAAAGGAAATTTGAAAATTCAGACATCAACACCTGCAAAGCGATCACTCATATCAAACGAATCGGTGAACTTTACCACTCCAAATTCAAGTCAAAGTATTATTGACAATACAGATAACAGCATGCAAATATTGTCACAAGCATCGTCCGGTTACTTCTCACAGAATTCAACATATTCCGATTTCTAATGACTGGTGCTAATTCTACTCAAACATAACATAATAATACATAACAAGAGATTTAAGTACAAATTAAGCATATTGAACAAACCAAGACGTGGACATAACTACTTATCAACTTTAAGGAACTTAATCCATTCCCATAATTAGACTGTTCTCACAAAAAAAGTACAACTATTCATTGGTCCACTTTTAACGAACATTTCAAATCAACAAAAAAGATGCGAAAATTTTTGCATCAAAAATTTTAAATCTTTAAAATCCGTTAAAATTTCACTTATTTCTATGAAATATCGCAATAATCACTATCTGTTCGCTGTTCATGTCTTGGATTGAAAATCACTCGTACCTCTACATTTGATAAAGCATTAAGAACATGTATTTATACGAGAATAATTTTATTTGACGAGAACTTTGAAATTATGTAAAGCTTGTAAATAACTTTAGTTTATTGTTGTAAAAAGTTTATAGATAGATTTAAGATGGATAGATATAACTAAAGAGAGTGATTTTTATAGAAAAATGCTGATATTTGTTTGGCTCATAGGTATTTTATTTGATTTTCATATTTTTCATCCCATAAAATTACTGGATTTTTAAGATTCAAAAAATGTCCAAAACGAGGGGCAAGTCATGAATATTACTAGTTACAAACCCCACTTTTTGTTTACTAAAATGAAAATATACTAAAACAATTAAAAACTCAAAATCTAAGGACATGGCAAAGACTGGAAGCTTTCAGGTGTCTAAATTCGACCCTATTCTACTAATATCACAGATTGTAGCACAACAGAGTTTCTTGTATTTCACACTAACGTCACTTTTAGTTCTTGGCTTAAATTTCTTAGAAATTAATTTATCATTATCAGCAATATTTGACTTCAGAGTGAGTATTTTAATAGCTTAATCGTGTAACTTAACTCATTAACTGCCTATTACAGCAAATCAATGTCACAGACACAGAAGGAATTTTAATTATATCATGTTTTATAACAAATTCTCTTTTTGGAGCATTATTTCTGTGGTATTTCGTAAAAAGAAGGAAGATGTGCTTAGATTTCAGGTATGACTTGCTATTGCTCAATAATTATACTTAAGTAATCACGATTTACCACTTCCAGTTGCACATTTCACTTTGTTCACTTCATCGTATGTTATTTTTACGAGTTTGAACTTCCATCATTGTCGTTCTGGCTGTTAAATTCTACGTGTTTAGTCATTATGTGTGTTACCTCTGAATATTTATGTATGCGTGAGGAGATGAAGGAGATACCTCTTTATATTCCATTATCTCAAAAAGCTGATTTATAAATTGTATAGACCATAAGAAAGGAATGAAAACTAAAGTCATATTTATTTAAGAAAATTACTTTCTGTATCTTGTTATTCTTATTAATTGTTGTTGAATTTACGATCTTTTTCTAGAATTAAATCTTCAATTTACAATAAATCTATTAAATATGTTTAAATTCACAGAATCACAAATGGTAGAATTTTAAGTAAATTCAACGGTTTTAAAAATTCAAATGTCCAAGGGGATGTCAACTCTTCAAGAAAAAAGGGGAAGTAAATTATCAACGATTCGAAACGTAAACACAAAAAATTCAGCAAGTCTAATTTTATCTAATTCAATTTATTACGAAAATACACAGTATGGGATCATCTAAAAAGCATAAGAAAGATCGTGATGCTAGCTCACGTAGACGAAGCAGATCAAGAAGTGAGGAATATAGAGAAAAAAAGAAAAGCAAGAAAAATCGAGACCGTGAAAAGGAAAGAAGGCACAAGAGGAAAAGTTCAGAACGAGAAAAATCCTATCATAGTGACAGTAAGTTAATTAGACTATTAAATCATAATCCAGTACTAAAAACCATAATAATTTTACAGGTTCAGATGTTGTTGAAGTTCCATTGGATGCGCCAGCACCGCCAGTCATTTCCGAATCATTAAAACCACTGTCTAGACAGCAAAGGAAGTCAAGATCTATGTCTCCAATTCCACAAGATGGTGCCGGTGATTGTTTGTCTATAGAAGCAACAAATAAGCTTAGAGCAAAACTAGGTTTAAAGCCACTTGAAGTTGGTCCATCAGATGTCACTCAAACAAGCAGCAGTAACAAAAATGATGATAAGGAAGAACGCGATGAAAGTGTTGCTGACTTAAGAAAGATTAAGGATGATTGGGGTGAATTTTATCATAAGCCAGCTGGACAATTCAATGAAAAAACGGAAGTAGAACTACTTCGTGAGAAAATCCAGTCAAAACGTGACAAAAGGAAGATTGAACATAAATTGGCAAGGATTAAGACATTAGGTCAGTCCGATTCAGAAGATGACACTACATCCTGGGTCGATAAAAGTCGTAAAATTGAAGAAGAGAAGAAAAAGGCAAAAAATCGAGCTAAACAGTTTGCAGAACTAGACGAAAATATGGATAAGGGTTTAGTTGTTCGTAAACGTACACAAAAAGCAAGGACTAGTAAATATGGTGAAAAAGATCTAGCAGGATTAAAAGTTGCACACGATATTGACACATTTAGAGAGGAACGACAAGTAATTTTGACATTAGAAGACAAGGATGTGCTCACAGAAGACGGTGATGTTCTTATGAATGTTAATATGAAGGATGACGAGCGTTATAAGAAGAATGTCAGCAACAAAAGATTAAATCCACAACTTTATGGATATGATGTCTATGAGGATCAGTATGATCAGTTTGGTAACTTTATAGATCGTGGTGTGCTTGCTAAGTACGACGATGATATTGATGCAAGTGCTCAAAAGTCATCATTCGTGATTGGTGAGAGTCGGGAACTAATTAGACAGCAACAAAGAAAGGCAATGGAAGTAAAAGCAAAATTACAAGGCAAAACTCTCGAAAGTTTAAATGATGATCCATTAAAATTAGCATCAGATCATTATACAGAAGAGGAACTGACAAAATTCAAAAAACCCAAAAGAAAAGTCAAGAAATTGCGACAAAAATTAAAGGCAGACGAGTTGCTTGAAATTGTTGGCGATAATACTGATCAAAATAAAGATTTAGGAAGTCGGAAGCGACGTGAAGACAAGCCAAAATCTGTCAAATTAAATGCTGAAATGTTGCCACCGACAAATCAATCTGAAGACTTTAAAGTTGAGCCAGAAGATGAGGATCTCGAACACATCCTGTCCAAAGCACGTAGAATTAAACAAAACGACATAATTAAGAAGGAATTGCCAATTGACATGATTAAAACGGAAGTAAAAATGGAAACTGAAGATTCTGAAGAGGAAGGTCCACAAACCAACATAATTTTGGATCAAACTGCTGAATTTTGTAGAACTTTGGGTGATATCCCAACTTATGGAATGGCAGGAAATCGAGATGAAGCTACAGACATGATGGATCTCGAAGAGAATTCTGGTGACGAGGAATTGCCAGAAAAACGTGGAAAGTGGAATCAAGTCGATCCAAATGAGGAACCAAAGTTAGTTGAAGGAATTCCGCAATCAGCTGAGCCTGACGATGTTGTAGTATTAGATGAAGAACCAGATATTGCAGTTGGAATGGCTAATGCTTTAAAACTAGCCATGTCTAAAGGATATCTCGAGAAAGAGGAATCAAATCGACCGAGTAATTCAAGATTTGCACATTTACAAGCTAAGCATTATTCAATTGAAGATAAGGCATATGAAGAAAATGATAAATACAGCAGACGAGGACATGGAGGTGGTGGATTTCAAAATGGTCCACTTTCTGAGTTCCGTGAAAAGTCTGGATATAAACCGAATGTTAAGCTGGAATACATTGATGATAATAATATTAAACTGACGCCAAAGGAGGCATTCAGATATTTGTCACACAAATTCCATGGTAAAGGACCAGGCAAGAATAAGATTGAGAAGAGATTGAAGAAGCAGGAACAAGAAGGGGTAAGTTCTTATTGAATATTCAACGGTTTTTATAATTTTGAATGTTTAACAGGTTTCAAAATTTTGGATTTGACTGATTTTTTGACAGTTTTTGAATTTTAACGACTTTCAAAATTTTAAATTTGACTGATTTTTTGACAGTTTTTGAATTTTTAACGGCTTTCAAAAATTTATTTTTAATGACTTTCAAAATTTTAAATTTGACTGATTTTTTGACAGGTAGAAATTTTTAAAACTTATTTGTAACGATATTTTTTCTGTAAATTCTTACAGCTCATGAAGAAAATGTCATCATCAGACACTCCATTGAACACATTAAATATGCTGCAGTTGAAGCAGAAAGAAACGCAGAGTGCATTTGTGGTTCTGAGTGGAAATAAGTCAGGTCAAACAACTCTCGGCAAGAATAAACGATAAACATTTTAAACTGTGTCTAAATGATAAGTTAATAAATTTAAATTTTCAAAATATGCTAAATTGAAGTTTGTTGTTAATTGGCAGGATCTGAAAGAAATCTTAAATTTCGTTTTCGGAACACGCGCATGTTTAAAGAAATAAAATTCTGATTTAATGGTGCTGTTAATAAAATAATAGCTCAGGTTTGGGGCCGTTCACTTATTACGTTCGCATTTTAGGGGGGGGGGTGTCAAGAAGTATGTAACGTTCTAAAGTTCAGTAAAAAAAGTTCACGAAAAAAATTTGTTTACAAATTCACACAAAAAACATTTTTTTAAATTTTCCACCTTTTTAATGATTTATGAATGTCCAGATCACTTTTAATAGCTAAGCAATGCATAGTTTTTGTTATAAATGTTTTTAATAACTATATATAAAAAATTATCAAAATAAAATAAATTATAAACGTTCAGGTGGGGGGGTTGTGAGTTGTAACATATTGTAACAAGGGGGGAGGGGGGTGAAAAAAGTCGTTTTTTTGCGTAACGTAATAAGTGAACGGCTTTATTGATTTGAAATTTCTTCTATTAAAAGAGACGTAAGGATAACTAGTTACATTTTAAGACTAAAGTCGAATATAAATTTCTCTGCATGGGATACTTTTCTAAAATCCAATAAAAACACAAGAATACACGACTTAAATTTTTCATCCATAACTGGTAGTATAACTGTTGATCCAGTCTGTATATTGAGCAACATCAGTAAATACTGCATATTTGTTGTTATCGCAAGCATAACCATCCTCGCTTCTACGTAATCCAGAAGAAACAATGCCTCTGAAATAATATTTGCTATCTGCATCATTTTTAACTGCAAAAGCTCCACCAGAGTCACCTAATGATGATAACCATAAGCTATTACGATCAGTGATATTTAAAGTTGTATTTACCATTGCATGGTGATCTTCCAGATCCGTCACCAACACAAAATGTCGAACTAGATGTAATTTTTGTAAATGCATCATCTGACCTTAAGCAATCTACATCGGCCACAACGGGTAGCGACACAAACATCGGATAATCAGAAATTGTTCCTTGGGAAGTTAAACCCCATCCTTTTTAAAATTTGTGAATAAATTATTTATTCAATGAAGGATTAATTAAAAGGTTTTACCAGCAACAAGACCTGCTTTATGAACTATATCTTGATGATTGTTTTTTTGTGGTGGAATGCAAAGCGGTATGATATCATTGGTAAATTTGATAGTTCTATAGAGCAAAGCAATTGCCAAATCAGCAGAGTATCGTTCTTCAAATGGATTCCATTTTGGATGAACTACAAATTGCCGAACTCCCGAACTGATGTAATCCTTTTCATTTAAATCATTTAATTTATATTTTCCAAGATAAAATGTTGAATCTTCAGCACTTTTCAGCTCAAAGTCTTGCTTATCTTGGACACAATGAGCTGCTGTCACTATAACTTTAGTTGAAACTATTGTTCCACCACAAATGAATCCATTCTGTCTGTAGTAGAATGCAGCGAGCCATGGAAAGTCACTTTTCTTAGCTAAACATTAGTTTTCGATAAATTAATGAATCTTTAATACTTTTTGTCAGCGCCAAAGGTGTGAAAAGAATGAAATTTCAACAAAATGTGTTCAACTGTTTCATACTCTTGGCATTATTCTATTGACAGCTCTAGTAAAATACTTTCCTTTTTGTCCACCAACAACAAAGGAAACAGCACCAAGCTGATTCCTTCGAACTCCACATACAAAAGTTTGTGCACTACTTATAGTTCCTAGTTTATTGTCTATGTAAACTTGCGTAGTTTGTCGCGGTTTTGCAGGGATTGGTGGTTGTGTTGCTCTGGTCGTTGGCTGTGCATAAATGATTCTTCTGGTTGTTTCTTGATTTTGATGATAATAAGACTGATTTGGAACAGGTCGTGAATTGGTTTGAGCATTTTGAGGAATATTGCTGATTGTGTATGTATGCGACATTTTGATTGTCGACACATAACTTCCACGTGCTAAAAATGGCAGATTTCAAAGAATATACAGAAGATATTTGGGTATCACGTCACGGGTAACCCTTAGCACTCTAGTGATCTTAAGAAACAGTTCTGTTCCTGCTGCATATAACAAAAGTTATAAGTTCAACAACACAGTTAATTTTTTGTGTTTACTGAATATGCAAAAATCTTACTGCTCAGGTCGTAAAATGTACTATCAATTTCTGCAGGTCTCTTCAATTCGTTTATGAAATTTGATATACTTACCAGGAGAACTTGAACATAATCGATTCCCATTCAAAAATACTCCAGTGACAATTGGTAAAGGATTTGTAATTAAAGGAACAAATTTTAAAATAATGTTTCGGCCATTCATCAAATCATCGTATACGTTTGTATTAAGGATGACGATTTTCCAATCGTTGTTCTGCATAAAATTTAGTAAATAATCAATTATTGGATTCTAAATTCATTAATATGTAAGCATTTACACTTGGCAATCTTGCAGCTACTGATAATTCAACTTCAAAGAATGAATATGATTGAAAAGGCACACGAGGGATTTCAACTTGTCCAAATATCCCTCCATAATGATCAGAATAAAAATTGGCAAAATTCGAACAACTCTGGCACCTTGCAATGCTGAAATTTATCAAAAATAGAAAAATAATTTTCCAAATTTGCATTTTAGCACACGAAAAATATTTTGTAAGGTCTTAATCGATTGATTTGTAAAATGATACTGATTTGTTCGCTCAAAAATTCCAGAGATTCTAAGAAGTGTTAACAATAAAAAGTTTGTCTATTCAAATCAGTTGTTAGACCGGTATTTATGTCTGTCGAATATTCGCATGTTGTGCATCTTCTCATATCAAATGTTTTCTAGTTTTCTAAAATGAGACTTGTCCTTAACTTCATGCTAATTTTGATGCTCTCGTTCCAATTTCTCCTGCTACACTTCAAACTCTTCAACATTAAGCAGTTGAAGTTTTAAAACTTCCGAAAAATCACAATTTTGAACATAGCTGGATTCGAATTGATGATCTTTGAGTTATCACACAAAAGTTGAGACAAGCGCCTTGTTTAATAATCAAGTTCCTCTAAAGGGATGCCTAGTTGCTTTAAACATCCTAAAACAGCACCCATAAAAGTAAATTTGTTTAACATGTGAAATTTGAGTGAAAATGGATACATTAGAGGGGACAATAGAAAAGTAGAGGAGCTATTCAAATTATTTTCATCCTTCAAGACAGTCAATCTAGCAATTACCAAGCGAACATCTAAGACACGTTTAATTAGACAATGCTCATCTGTTCACAAAATTCTAGTCAAGACATGTTAATAATGATTTTTAATTTCTATCAATTGCACATTTTTAGCAAAGACACAGCTACAGGCCTTTCTCTTTACAAGGATCAGTGCCATCTATTGAGACGAATACACTTTGGTGGCAATTCTAGGAACTGAAAATTTGAATTTTTCAAAATCGTTGAAAGTAAAATTTGACTAAGTCATACCTGACTGGATGTAAACTGCTACTTTTGAATCATTCAGTCATGTGAAAAGATCAAATTCTCTCATTTTGAAGTTTGAAGAATGAATTCAAAACTCAAAGTCTATTTTCATTAGAAATTAGCATATAAACCAAAAAGAAAAAGAAAATTTTTCAATCCACACAAAAAAAATCCATTAAACTCCTTTTTCATAGCTTAGATGAATCATTATGTTATTATTATTTCTTTTCTATTTCACAAAGCCTGCATGAATGCATAATATAGAAATTAATTCTCATGTATCATATCTGAGTACACACACATGAAAATTTTATAATAAGAAAAGTTTTTACTCGGAAATAAATTTTTTGTTCCTTCATTTTATCATTTTTCTGCATTTGTTCTGTTATTAAGTGTTTTGATGGCATTTTTGTACCAAACCGCATCATGCTCTTTGTTATTCATGCATATATTGTTTCACATAGAAACTCATCTTCCATTCCTTACCGTTGGCAATTTTTGGCAATTTTCTAATGTTTCAGCACCGAGAAATTTTGTGTGCATGTTCAAAAATGTGGAAATCTGTATGTTGCAGAATCAAGGCATGGTTTGGGTGAGGGAAATAATTTTTTTTATTCAACTGTTTTATTTTCAAAACTGGTGTTTTTGTGTTTTGTTGATGGCAGTGCTAAAGATAAAACTAGAGCGAATTTTAAAATATTTTGAAATTTTAACGGTTTTCAAAAATTCAAATCTATAGGCAGGTTTTTAAAAATTCAAATTTTTACGGTTTTCAAAAATTTAAATCTCTTACAATAATTTCAAAAATTCAAAATTTAACGATTTTTAAGTTTAGATCCAAGCTTCTATTCAACACTCCAAAGTGACATTTTTATGACATCTCCAATCCCTAAAACTGCCTAAACAAACCAAATCTACGAAAGAATTATTTTTATTCCTCTCATCGAGTTTTTGGTTTTGAAAAAGGAAGAAGAGGAAGCAAAAACCGAAGATTAGGAATATGGAAAAATGGGAACGTGAGATGGGATGGCAATGATGATATATCACTACCGTCTTCATAATTCTCAATTGTACGAGAAAGAAACATAATCTGAGAAAATTTGTTTTCCTCCAATGCAAAGTCTCAGTTTGGCGGACATGAAGAGAATAATCGGTGATGTCGTAAGACTTACATCGAAAAACACGAAATGAATAAAAGCTACTGTCAGTTGGAAGGAAGAGAAAATGAAAAAAAAAAGTTTAAAGCCACTTTATAATTTATGACTTTTATTCGCGTGACTGAAGATTCCTTCATGCTACTTCTTCTGATTCCGAATTTATTTAACTTAATAATGCTATTTAACTTCTGAATGCATGATGGTTTACAATTCGAGAATGTTTCTCTTTCAAGCTGTCGGATCACTTGTTGTGACTTGGATTTTGAGTTTTGTTGGTACTTGGATGTGCTGTGTTTATGAGTTAATTGGATTAGTTTGGAATGAGAATTGTGTTATTTTGTAACGAATTTTAGATTTTTAGATCTTCAACGGTTTTAAAATTTTTTAAATTTTTTTTGCACCCAACTTCATTTGAATATTCAAATTTCGTCCGTTATTTTGTCAATAAATTTTAAATTTCTTCAAATTTTAATCCATTTTTCACTACAAAACCACATGCAGCTATGCCAATTTCAATATATAATTTTAATAAACTCTCAGAATCCATAAATGTATCAACAAAGCAGCATAAAATAAAATTTTTATTGATCATTTCTTCTAAAACATCCAATAAAATTGTCATACACACTACAAAAAAAAAGTATCGCCTAAACATAACTTTTAATGAGACTATCAAGCATCCAAAAGTGCCCAATAAAAATTCTTTAATTAGAGTCATTTTACTGTTGATCTCTTTAGATTTATATGTATGCGTATGTGTGCTTGTATCAACTTTTGGTTCATATCACTTTATACGTCCAAATTAAGAGCGACATTTTGATGTGCAGTCAACTCACCCCACCGCACAATCGATGCGAGACAATGTAAGGAAAAATGAATAAACGACAACACTTGTAATAAAAATAAAATTTTATTGAAAACTTTTGGTCATTGCCGTAAATGTTGGAGTTAGACAGAAGAAATTTATTAATGAACATTTCATTAATCGCGCACCAGCGAAATATGAGAGGACATTAAATGGATATGGACATTAAAAATATTAAATTATGATTGCTTTTGAGCTGTATTTTTGAGAGATGTTGTTGTAGGATTAGGTCGGTTTTGTCTTGTATGATTCTTAACAAGTTAAGCGTCCCAAAAAGTGAAAACCAAGCTCCTTGAAGCTAGACTAAGTTATGATTGATTTTTGGCTAGTTTAATGCCAATACTCCTGCAAATTGGAGAGAATATCTCTAGAATACATCAAATATGACTAAATTTGATCATCCATAGTAGCTTGCCAGATCAATGATCCCCAAAGATTCTTCAGTTCGAAACCTTTACATCCTTAAAATGCGCCAAAATCCTCAATTTCCATCAACTCTTTGCCAACTTAATCGTCTTCTTTGTCCGTCATATTGATAAGACATAGAAATATAAATTTATAGGATGTTCTTCTTATTCCCATCCAGTGGTGGACGAAACAACGAATGTTTTGTGTCACATGAGTGAATTCCATTCGTTCTCGTCAGCAATAAAAAATTATTTTTCTGTATTTCGCTGTGTGCAATAAAAAGCAAGTATTCCTAATTGCCATAAATTTCAATAAAACTGATCTGTTAAAAAAAAGTGCACGCTTATGTCTAATTTAATTATCAGTCCATTTCGGATGATGTTATAAGGGGAGCCATGATGAATCTATAAAAGATAATTAATTTTGATCTCTTTCTGGCTCGCAAATTATTGGAGAAATGGATATCAAGAGTGGACCGTAAAAAAAATTATGCCATGCGTTAATGTCGCACATAATTAACAATATAAAAATGATATTACAAAGCAATATTATTATTCTTATTTTCATTTCTCATTCTATTCGTATTCGATTTTTTTAAGACACAAGCAAAGCTCTTTGAAGCATCAAACGGAAATTTATTATCACTTTGCTTATCTTCAATCGCAATTTCTGTGAAGTTTCGAGTAAATCTAGAAAATGAAAAGAAAAGTAAATTGGGTAGAAGTTAAAAGCAGATTTCAATATCGAAAGGAAATTATCGCTGAATTGGAGATGAACTTGAGATAATGGTTTGGCTGGTTTCAAGACGCATTTGAGTTTTTTGTTCATTTGTGGTGAGTTTTGGTTCATTTGTGGTGAGCTTTTGGTGAATTTGTGGTAAGTTTTTGGTAATTTTTTTTCATTTAAGGTAGATTTTTGGCTAATTTGTGGTGAGTTTTTGGTTAATTTGTGGTGAGTTTTTGTTTCATTTGTGGTGAGTTTTTGGTTCATTTGTGGTGAATTTTTGGTTTATTTGTGGTGAATTTTAGATTATTTGTGGTGAGTTTTGGTTCACTTGTGGTGAGTTTTGGTTCACTTGTGTAGACTTTTTGGTTAATTTGAGGTGATTTTTGGTTCATTTGTGGTGAGTTTTGGTTCGCTTGTGGTGAGTTCTGGTTCATTTGTGGTGAGTTCTGATTCATTTGTGGTGAGTTTTTCAGTCAGTTCATCTAATCATCCAGTCAACCGTCAATTTACTAAATAAAATTCTCCAAAAATCAAGCTAACCCAAGAAGAAAAAAATTCAATTTTGAAATGCTAATTTTATTGTGAATCATTTCGTTTTGGTTTTAAAGGCAAACGACAATTTGTTTTCAATTTAGAGCAAATTGTTATCCCTGTCGCATTGTCTCCATAATGACAACAATCCAAAGAATCTACTAAATCGTTGCCTTAACTGTGTGTATTTAAATGCAATCAAATTTTGCGATTGATGGCCTTCGCCGAGATAAAAGTTGGTGCAAAATTAAATTGAACGTTTTTAAGCTCCTGTCAATTTATCGGGGATAGATAGGAAATTAATTTGCATATTTACAATTGAAGGAGGGAAATCCTCTCAATTGTTTTCGTCTTAACGAGATGAGTAAGTACTTTTTTTTTGTAATACAGAATAATTGAAAGCTATAGATGAAAAATTTGAACCATGATGGATATGCATCCCATGGGAAATAAGAAGTCATAGAATATAAAAAATGCTTCAATTATGCACAGATATTTTTTTTTGTTGATGAATCTTCAAAGTGAAACAATAATAATTTTCAAAAGTCATTCCAGTTCGGTAAGGAGAAGTCGGCTGTTTCAAAAAATTCATTCCTTACCATAATCACCCAGAAAAAAGTACTTTCCTCAATTT